CTGCAACGGCCTGAAAGGAGGCTGGAGCCGGGGGGGTCGGTCTCTTCTCCCCAGGAACAAGCGATGGGACGAGAGGGAACGGCCTCAAGCTGCGCCAGGGCAGGGTTGGGTTGGGTATTAGGGAAAACTCCTTCCCCCAAAGGGCTGTCAGGCCCTGGCCCAGGCTGCCCGGGGCAGGGGCTGAGTCCCCATCCCTGGGGGGATTTAAAAGCCGGGGAGATGTGGTGCTTGGGGACATGGTTTAGTGGTGGCCTTGGCAGCGCTAGGTTAACGGTTGGACTTGATCTTAAGGGTCTTTTCCAACCTAAACGATTCTATGACTCTATGACAAGTCCTCACTTGGGCACGCAGGAGGTGCGCAAAGTAACTCAAACTGCTCCCCCTGGGCTTTGTCGGAGGTGAGCGGGTGTTTGGCGGCCTGGCAGATTCCTCCTACGCTGCACGGGCGTGGGATGGAGCAGGGGCACAGCTGAGCAGGCTGCGGGGCGCTCGGGGGAGCGGCAGTCGGCCTCAAGGACATCTTTCAACCCTACTAAACCGCGCTGACGGGAATCTGGTGAGCAGCCGAATTTCGAGCTCTCTCCAGCTGTTAGACCAACAGCTGGAGCACTTACAAAGAGCTCTGCTTTGCAATGATTAGTTACCATCATTTATCAACTTCTCATTTAGAGTTAAAAAGCCGAAGGAAGTTGCAAACAGCCCAGCCTCCTGCACAAACGCTGGCAGGCACCCGCTGCAGAGTGGCCTTAGGGCGGTGCTGAGCACCTCCGTGCTGCAGCCAACTCCCCAGCACGACAGGGCTGTAAAAACCAATGCTACTAAGAGAGGAAAGCATCTCTAGGAGCAGAAGTTGTTCACTAGCAAGGTATAAAAAGAAACTTTAGTCACCCAAGGTATCGCTCAGGTAGATGTGGGGCACGGCGAGGGTCATCATCTCCCAGAGAGTCAGCCCAAAAGCGAAGATGTCGGCCTTGTCGGTGATCACGCCGTCATCCTGCAGAGCCTCCTTGGGCTTCCAGGGCTCGGTGCCCACGTAGTACATGTCCGGCTCGCTCACTGGAAGGAAACAACGCAGCTCGGGTGTCTGCTGCAGCTTGCAGACACAGCAAGACACCGTCACGGCTCACCACACAGCAAGGATTTCGCCTGGTGGCTAGCTCAAGAGTGCTAAAGCCGCAGGGAGGATCTTTTGGGGGCCTGAAGCCATTTTTCTTTCACAACTGTGTAAGCAGAGAGAAGAACCGAAGGTCAGAGCTGTAACCCCGCTGTAAGACATCCCGCAAGGAAGAAGTGAGGAATTACCTGCGTTTTCCTCAGCTTGGCCCCCCCGGGGTGACAGCGCTCAGAGGGCACCTTCCCCTTCCCGGGGGACAAAGCCAACCCAACCCCGCTGCTCGCCGGGCTGCGTCAGCCTCCGCCACGCAGTGCCTCCTGCCAGCCACGCTGTCCTTCTGGTTTCTTTACTCCAGCCCAAACCAAGCTCTCGCCACTTTGTTCAATTTAACGCCTCCTTGATCTTAATTAGCCTCGGGGGACTTGAAGGGATCAGCTTGGACTCCGTCCCTTATATCCCTCTCCCAAGAGGAGGGTGCCACATTTCCCGCCCCGCTCTCCCTAGCAAATTCCCGAGAATCCCAAGTCAAGAAACTTTTCTCTTGCAGGGCTGATCTTCAAAGCCCAGCCCGTAACGAGAAGCGAATGCCAAAATCCCTCAACGCTTCACGGGCTGTTGCGCTTTAATCCTTGGCTGCCACGCGGATGGGGACCCACTCGTCATCGGTGGGTGCTCCTTGTCTCGAGACCAGGAGGAGGCAAAGCCAAAAATCGGGGCTGGGTGGAGAGGACTTCTGACTCTTAAAACGGCCCAGAAACCGATACTTTAACCACACTCCTCTCCGGGAGATTACACCGGGGCGCTGCCTCCGGCTCTCTCGCTCCTTATAAAAGAGAACAGCTACTAATAAAAATGTAATAGAGCAGCTTTATAAATTATGAGGCGGTCGCAGGCCCGAGCGCTGCGTAAAGCGGCGGAGAAAAGCATTCTTGTAATTAACCCAAACACATTCCTG